AGTGGTGCCCTTCCCCTACACCCTCTTACCCCCTGGGGGGCGCAGTTGAGAGGCAGATTGGGGGGGGGGGCAGCAGCAGGGGATAGCATCCCACAGACCCGAACCGCAGCCAGGCCGGGCGGGGCGCGAACGCGTGAACCCCGATGTATACAGGGGGTCCCGCGGACCCCTCTCTTATCGCAGTACAATACTTATTGCAGGCACCATAGTTGGAGCCAGCCGGGATCACTGCATACCACGGCACAGTGGTTTCGGCCTAGCGGAATGCTGCATGGACACTGTCGAAACATATGCCGACAAATGCATAGTTGTCTTACTTTTATGTCTGGATATTTAAGAATTTTTGTATCACATTAAACTTGGTTAATTTTTATACTGTTAACGATATACAGCCCATCAGATACCTTAAATGGTACTACATCGAGTCGTGCATGGTTTTTGAAGTACTTGCAAGGCGATGTGTAAATGTGCTAATCCCAACCTCTGTATCTCTGGTGTTAAAGGCTTTCTTTAAAGCTCGAGCACATGATCGCGTGTCTGCAAACCCTTCCTTTTTTTTGCCGGTGCATAGTGATATTACTGCGCCCTCGTGGCCCCTCCGGAGCTAAAGGCCCCGCCTGCCAACATCTCACGCCCTCTCCCCCCTCCCCCTTTCCTCTCTTCTCGCCCGGAGCCCCGCCGGGACTCAAGAAGCTCTGCTCGGCCTGCGGGCGTGGGCCACTAACGTGTGGCTACGACGGTGCGGGCCGGGTTGTGGCGACCGAGGGGTCCGAGGGGTAGGGGCCGCCCCTCCCCACTATGAAGAAAGAGTGCGTGATGCTCTGTTAGTTTTATCAGGAGATCCTCACTATGGCCCCTATCCGCCGTACCTATAACATCAATGGGGGCGCTGACTTTTTATATTTTCCCTCCCACCACCACCGTCGTCGTTCCGGCGAACTTGAATGCGAATGTTGCCCCGCAAACTTGCCTTTCTCCTCCTTTTGCTCTACTCGGATCAGACTAGTTTGTCGGCGCCCTCGCCACCCGCTCGTGGCTGGCTGGGCAAAGAGATATGAGACCTGGCCGAACTTGCGTTCGGGAAGTGGCGCGGTGGGGCTTTTGTGGGAATAATAAAAGTGGCTCCTCAGCAACGGCATACCAGCGGGATTTGGCTCTTTTCAGGATCGAAGCGGAGCAGCGTGCGCGTCCCCTCTTCGAAAATATGGGCGTGTCCACCTGACGACGGTCGTGTATCATTCTCTGCATCTGTGAAATATGTGTCTATATAGACGTGGAACAACGCCTAGCGGCGGAGACAACACGGTACGTATGGTGTCCGCCCCGGCCGTGGCGCCACGTCTTGTCGACTCACGTCCTGCCCGTCCCTGACAATGTCCCTGATGTCCTGGATTGACCCACCCCTTTGTCTTGGCTGTCGTAGTCTCTCTTTTACCCCAACGGTGCCCTTCCGGGGCCGTCTCCCCTTCCCCTGTCGTCGCTCCTCCCTCCTTTACTCTGCTGCCCTGTCTTTCACTCCGTAAAACTGGTGCACACTACACGTTCGGGTTTCAGCCGAATAGAATGTTTATACACTTGTAGAAAAACTTGGAAAAAAAGTTTCGATTACTTGGTTATTTGTTTTATTCGAATAGTGTTTATTTTTAAGTGTGCCTCTTAAGTTTTTTTTCTCGGGCCTGGAAAATGTTTTAGACCGTCGTCCAGTCTTGTCGTCCACAAACCGTCCCCTTCAGAGGGCGTGATCGGCTTACCACGGCCTCTGACGTGGAGGAAGTGACTGGCCTGCCGGCCCGCACAGTGTGAAATGCTTTTGTGAACAAGTGCTCGGTAAGGCTCCCCCCCCCCCCATAAAAAAATGTTTGGTGTTACAGACATATTGTCTGATTTGCAGAACACTAGGTACGTATAAGGTACGTGTACGCGTACGCGTGATGTTTCGTTTTACTTAAAGGATCTTGTTTATTCTCCGCTAGGGTATAAAACTGTTTTTCTGTCGACATTATACTTTTTCATGTATGAAATGGCTCTGAAGAGCCCGAGTGCGACACACGGCAGCTTGTAGAGGGTGCGTGCGCGTGCGTGCCCGCCCCTGTGCTGGGCGGAAAACCGGCCTCCTTGGCTCGTGGCCCCGGCCCTGAGTCCGGAGCTCTGCCCACCGCACGGTTTGCTTATGACGAGGGTCTGGAGGGGCTTACAGTCGGACGCGACAGATCTCCTGATCCTTGTCATGAGAAGCCGACAAGTTATTGGGCGCATTCCAGCAATAATGGCGCTATAAGCACGTCGCCTTGACCCTTGCACTGTGTGTACATAGTGCTTCACTAACAATGGGACAATGCTACTCTCTTATTTTTGTTTGAGAGGGAAAATATATGTTGTACTTGGCGTGTTACATCTACCATTGTGCCTATTTTCAGCTTCTTTTAGGCTAGGTTTTGAACTTGAAGTACTGCCCTGAATTGTGCTTTTGAAGAATCCATGTGTTCCTATCTTTTCATTGCGACGCGCCCTAACGAAAGAGTCCGATCTGCTTTGCTGCTGAACTAAAAGAGTTCGATCTGCTTTGCAGCGAAACCAAAAGAGTCCGATCTGCTTTGCTGCCAAACCAAAAGAGTTCGATCTGCTTTTAGGCGATGGAACGTCAGGCATCTTTGGAGGGCTATAACTCCTCGGATATTTTGAATTTACGCAAAATAAAAAGACTTGCTTGTTACCCTGTCCTTTACGAATGTGTACACCCTAAAATATATACCCTTTTCCTCTCAAGCTTCGAGATATCATAGAGTTTATGCGGAGCGGTCGACGAGCGCCGAAAGCAGATCGGACTCTTTTGGTTTGGCAGCGAAGCAGATCGAACTCTTTTGGTTTCGCAGCGAAGCAGATCGGACTCTTTTGGTTCAGAAGCAAAGCAGATCGGACTCTTTCGTTAGGGCGCATCGATTGGTAAATGTTAATGTTACCCCCTTAGCAAGTTAATACGCGTGGAGGTTTATATTTGCTGGATAGCATGTCTTCTCCCCAGTTTATGTTACACCTTTACCTTTTCACGTCATTCGTATTTTTTAGTCGGTAGATGTACGCCAGACCACGTCTCGCGTAACAGGCTTCGCGAAATCTCACGAAACACCGCTACGCTGCGACGCGCCCGGCATTCATCTAACTAGGCCTGTGGCGCTGACATCTGAGTCGGGCAAAATGGCAGAGTCGTAAATAGGCCTTCGGCCCCCTAAGTCACAAATTTTGATCCCGTTAATTTGACGGGTTACCCCACCCGGAGACCGTAACATATCTGAGAAAAAACATTTAAATGTTTTGAGGTCATTTTCGTGTAGAAAACTCCCTCTGGCGCCGTAACGGTAGGAATTTTGGCTATTTGGGTTCTACTTTGACGAGTTACCCCTTTGGGAACCATAAAAAATGTTTAAATACTAGCAATATTTTGCTTTTAACAGACCCCGTTCTTGGCCAATTTTTGAGCTAGAGTGCTCAAAATCAATTCAATTCTTGCTCTTTATGATACAAAGTTACTATAACAAAATTTACGTACCTAGCTCAAACTGTTTTTGAGTTATCGTGATTAAAGACAGACAGACAGACAAACGCGAAACCTTTTGATCATCACTGGAGTTATAGGCTTCGCTATCGCTCGGCCAATGATCACCCCAAAAAATGTGTTCTCAATTCAAGCTGATACCCAAAATTTTAAGGCAAATAGGGATTTATTTATTCCCTGTTTACTTAATTTAAGAGTGTAAATAGGGGTTAAAATAAGAACATTTGCCCTAATTTTGGGGATCATCTTGAATTGAGAACACATTGTTTTGGGTGATCCTTTCCGCGCCTTTTATTGTCTTGCGATCCCCGTGTTTCGTCCCCTCCCCCTTCCTGCACGCACACGTATAATTCTACGCGACCGGGCAGCAGCGCTTGTGGAGGCTTGTCCTGTCCCCGGCCTCGCCGTCACACCTACCCATACCACACGCCACTCTCAATCAGCGTAGCGTCAGCATCTCCCCACCGCCATCCCCCCTCCCTCGTCTCTCACCCCCTTTCCCCTCCCCCAAGCATTTCTTTCACCCTGCATGCCACCTCTATCTTTCACTTGCTCCATCAGTCATAGCGACCAGCCGCTTCACTTTTAACGAAGCAGCAGCGGCGGTGGCGGCAGCAGCAGAAGAGGTCGCGGTCACAGGCTGTCAAACGGGAGGACGATCCTCCAATCCTCCCCGTGCCTGATGACGTGGGAGTGAGGGTGGGTGGGTGAGGGGGCTGGGATGCACACTTGCTATTACAGCGAGGCTTTCACCGGGGGAAAGACAGTCGTTGGTCTAGTACCCAGTCAGCCTTCTTAATCGAGTAAGGGCGAAAACATTGAAACAGCTTTGTGAAAAATATGCATTGTCACTGTC